GACCATGTGTCACAATGTTTTAGCTGTTTAACAAACATTACTCGCTTTTCCTTTTTTTTAAATTTCTGTCATTGCCACAAATGGTGTTTTGAAAAAAAATGGAACGAAGAGAAAAACAAAAACAAAAGTCAGAAAAAAAACAACAAAAAAACTCTCGTTTTGGTTGAAGAAAATATTTTAACAGTAAAAAAAAGTCGTCCACATTTCATTGCCTTGATCCTAATTGTGTCCGAAGATGCAACAACAAGTCAAGTGGCTTCTACCTGTTTACAAAATGAATATGATTGTATTGTACTGTTTTATTTTCTTTCCTTTGGGGCAAAGGGGGGGAAGGTGGGGTACTCATCTGAAGTTCCTGACGTACGTGTGTGTGTGTGTGTGTGTGTGTGAGAGAATGTGAATTGTGGAGGTTTTGTGTGAGAACAGCGTGAATGTAAAATCCACCAGTGGCGTTTTTCTTCACAACAAGAGAATAACAGATTTATCTACCAGTGATTGTTTAGTTACTTTGATGCACAATTTGTTTGTTAGGGTCATGGGGGGGGGAGAGAAGTGTCAGAGGGGTGCATGAACGACGAGTCAGCATTAGCGAAGCCATGGACCTTAATTATCTTTTCTTCATCGTGTTTGTGCATGTCGCCCCCCCCTCCTCCCTAGTTCTCTTCTCTCATGTAGGTTTTTATTTCAGAAGTACTAGAAGCTTTAGTCTTTTATTTTTTAAGCTTAGCCCGTGAATATTTAACAACTTCAAAGCAAACGCAGTGAGACAGAACCTTGAGTATTAGCCAGACTTGACAGTGATGTGTGCCAGTATTGAACCGCTCTCTACCAAATAATTCAATCATACAAAAAAAATTAGTTTACTTAATTCCAGATCTCTTTGCTTATAAATATATATATAAATACATACTTACATATATCTCTTATTTGTATTTGTTGTCGTTGTGTTGAACAGTTGTTATCAAGTGGAACATCTGAGCTTTTTTTTTGTTGTTGTTGTTAGTTTTAGTCTGACACGTTGAACTGAGGAGACTTGGATTTTGCACTTGGGTGGATTCTAGAGGAAAAAGGCCGAAAGCAAAGCTGAGACAGATCTTTAGATTTTCAGGTCTCTGATGGAGAAGGTGCGCCTGTGAGTATTCGACAGGGTAGAGTGTGTGCACGCACGCGTGTGTGTGTGTGTGTACTGTGATTCGAGAAGATGGTGCTTTATTGGTCTCCCTTGGTTGGTGAACCTCCAGCTCTGAGCTGGGCCCGAATGTAGCTGAAACGGTTTGTAAAAGTATAAAAGACAGTGCAGCCTCAAATGTGCATGAGGGGCAACAAAAAAAATTTGTAATTTTTTTTTTTTTTTGAGAAATTGAGCAGCAGTCACTGCTGCCGTGGTGTCGCTTGACTGAAACGAGGCGAGGAGGGGACGGGACTCGCGATTGGCTGCTTCTTCCTGGCTTTTCAGGGATAAAGGGTTGCACTTTTGCCTCCTCGCCGGCTTATCCAGGATCAGCTCCTCCTCTCCAACTCCTAAGCTTAACTACAGGGAGAGGAGACTCATAACTGACAGGAGGTCTGAGGCGGGGGGGAGGGGAGGGTGGGCTCTAAACTGTCTATATTCCCTTACTGCTCAATGACATTACTTTACACTTTGTTCATTCTGATTTTTGGCAGTGCTGTCGTTCCTGGCGCTGATTTGAGAGCAGCTTTGTCCATCCTCAGTATCCTTTTTTCTTTTAACTATTACCGGGACAAAGGCTGACCCCAGATCAGCAGCTCAGGTGGCAGCATTGCTGTGCTGTTAGAGAAGGGACAAGCAACGTCTGGAAAACGCCTCTTAATAATGTTGTTACTGTTTTGGTTCCATAATCGTGTTTGTATCTACTGTCAGCCTGCGTGAGACTGTGAGAGTGTTTGTGTGTGTGTGAGTGAATACATCATCATGCCAAATCGAGGAGGGAGGGAAGGAAAGGGATAAATCCTTTATTGTTGTTGTTTGGTTGTAGTTGTGTACGTGTGCATACGTGTACTTAAAAAGCTGGACAATATTAAATGCTTGAAGATTTAAAAAAAAAAAAAAAAAAAAATTAAAAAAGTCATTTGCAAAAGGATGATGTGAGGAAAACCTTTTTAGTAAAGTGAAAACCACCACGAGCAATGTACAATCCCCAGGGCTGCCAAGCAGCTTCCCGACAGGGCCAGACGAGGGGAAGGAAAGGAAAAGGAAGTAGCGGGCAGGAGGGAAGCTGGCTGGTGATACTCTACTACTTTTTAATGTTTAAGAAAAAAAATAATGTGACTTTTTTGTGTTTCTCTTGACTTAAATATCCTGTGAGTAAATGCTATATTATATCATAACACACCTGACGGCTCCTACAGTCGATCAAAAAGCGCTAAGGCTTATTTTTTTGACAGGAAAAACAGAAAAAAACAAACAAAAAAACAAACAAAATAGAAAAAATACAAAAACTGTGAGAATCTGCTGTCTTTTTTTTTTTTGTCGTTTTACATTTAGTATGAACACACAAACAAACCCTGAAAAGCTTTAGTCTAACCAGCACAAAGATGTGGGCGGGTGGGGAGGGAAGGGTGGGTTTATCAGGGGAAAGGGGTGGGTGTCGCTCAGAGAGACTATGCAGTGGAGTGTTTGAACCCAGGCTTACATGTCCACCTTGGGTTTTTCTTCTTCTTTTTTTCCCTGTCTTTAAATAAAACAAAAAAAAAAAATTCCCAAAAAAATGAGTAAACACCGCTGAAATGGGATTCCCACTAATATTCCTCAAACGTGTCGTGCCATCGTTAAATTGTACAGCTAGTACAGCTACTAATAATAATAATAATAATACAAACTGAAAAACCTTTATTACCTAGCAAACGGTGGGCCAGTTGTAGCAGGAGGAGGAGGACAGGTTAAGATTTGCAAAAGTCCATTTTTGTCGATTTTTCTCGCAGCTCGAGCGAGGCCGGTGAAACTGCAAATTTTACACGACTACAGTGCTTTTTTTTCTTTTTATAGAGATTCTATCAATCCAGTGTGTAGTTGGATCACCTGTAAACCTATTATGCACATCGCTTTGGGAGACTGTTGAAACTATATATAAAATATATATATGAGAATATAATCGTACAGTGTCTATAATCAACGAGGGGGCGTCTTCCTCTCTTGCAAACAAAAACAGGAAGTACCTTTTTATTTTCAAACGTCTTCCTCGGGTCATCAAAGGATTTTATCTTTAAACTTCGGTGGAATCTGCACTTTTTGAAGGACAATCTTTATTTGTATGGGTATAAAAATTGACAAAATAAACGAAGTCGCCTGATATTAATGGTATAAAAAACCAACTCCAGTGTGCTCTAATAATGAATGTCTCCTCTGATGCTGTCTACTTGTTTGGTTTCATTTTAATCCTTTTATTCTCCTTTTGTTGCTTGGTTTGTTCTGTATTTTTTTTCCTCTTTATTTCTTTCTGGATTTTACTGCTCTTAAGAGAATCTGTACTAAGGTGTAGAGTAGTGAGTAGTAGGTCTTCTGTTGGCTGTACTCGTATACTGAATTACTGTTTGTAACCCGCTGGCTTCTGCAGCCAGCATACAAAGCTGTATAACTTGGGTACAACCCTCAATAAAAGACTAATACACAGCGGCCGCCTCCCAGAGTCTTTATTTCTCTCCGTGTGACTGAAAACTTCTGCTTCGTGCTCCCAACAACATCTCTGACTTCAGGAGACACAGACATGCTGCTGTAAATGTGGGAGCAGCTGAAAGTAGCTGCTGCTTTTGTTTGCTTGGACAACCTCTCAAGACAAGGTGATGTTTCCTGTGACATCAGGATTTTAAAGCCCTCTGAATGCTTTGGTTACTCAAAGAAAAGCTTTTAATTTGGTCTGGTTTATAGAAATCTGTCTTAGATTGAAAGAATTCGGTTTCGGTAAACTCCAACGCTGGGTTTGCTAATTTTATTATTGTGTAAACGTGTTAGTTGTGAGTTTATTTTTGACCCTTTAAACCAAAGTATATTTTATACGCAAGTTTTTGAGACTTCTACATTTTTGTTTTTTCCCTTAAAAAAAAAAAAAAGTTGCACCACAAAAACATACCCGATGTAGCAAATATGATAAAATTACTTTTTTTTTTTTTTACTTTGTAAACCTGATGAAAAATGAAAATATAAAGCCCACAATAGAATTTTCTGGCAATTATTTAATTGGCCAGGTTTTAAAGGGTTACATTTTTTATTTATATTTGTAAAGGTGCATTTGTTAGGGCTCAGGTCGGGTACTGAAATAAAAACACTTCAGTCCCAGCTGTGTGGACATCCTGCAACAATGGCACCTCATTCTTCATGTGTGGACACAAGATTAAAACTCAAGAATTGTCTTTATTGGTTTTGTCCTCATCTTACGAGGTAAAGAGTGAGGGAACATGAAGCTTACCTTTAAATCAGTGCACTAACAGGGTTATTGCATGGAACAGGGGTCTCCAGACAGTAGCTCTCGAGGACTGGAGTTGGAGACCCCTGGCCTGGAGAAGACAGATTTATTTGAGCTGCTGGTGGATGGAGCTAAAATTAATCTTCTGGTTCTGCAGATGAAAGCTCTTTGTATGTTTAAAGTATTTACTGATTAATGATGTGGCGCTATTTCAGCTTTATATACAGTCTAGAAACCACAGGCTTATATACTTAAGCTGTATTTTTGGGAGCTTTTTTCCTTTGACAGGTCAGTAGTGGATGCAGGTGGTGTGGGTGAGCCTCCCAGCATCAAGCTTCAGTCTCCCTACAACCCAAAGTAGATGAGAAATTAAAATAGATGGATAGTTATCGCAAATCCCATCCAGTGGAAACATCAACTAAAAGAACTGCAGCTGAATCTGGGTCCTTCCTCTTTACTGGACCCAAAGCGGAGTAACAGCAGACACGGAAGTGTACAATGTGTCTTTATTAATCTATTAATGACAAATTGTACATGGGACCACAGGGCGGAGCTGAAATGAGAACAATAAATCAAACCAGTGATATAATCTTGTTTAATATTGATTTTTTTTTTTTTTATCTCCAAGCTCTCCTGAACATGTTCATTTAAATACAGTCAAACACGAGACAGCTGAAGCCAACGTCGCCATAATGGACACGAGTTGAAGTAGGAAACTGTTTGGCGCCCATCTGCTTCACAAGAACTTCCTGTTGGGTGGGTGGAGGTGACCCTATCTGGGCACAAAGGAATATAAATTGAGCACCGACACAACAACGTGTGACCAAAGACAGAAAACGGGGCCTGATGGTGACTTGCCTCTGGTGTGCTACAGAGCAGATTACTCATAAACGTCTTTCTTGTCTGCGATGTACTGTACGATCTCCTCAGGAGTCATCAACTTCTCTGCTTCTGCATCTGGGATCTCAAAGCCTGCGGCACAAACAAGTTACTGGTTACGGCGTGTGCTAAAGTAGCCATGTGACATGCATCGATAATGCTGGACGAATAAGCAGCTTTCTGCACAGATGGTCACAAACATCTCGCTGGTACTACGTCCTCAACTGTAGGTCACACATATTAAAAGCTGTTAGTCTATTAACTTCACTGATCAAAATAAGAAAAAAAAGTCCTGAGTCCGATTTAAACTTTCTGCTAACTGCCAAAAATGATCTAAGAACCCTGTTCTCAGCATACTTCAGACCCGCCCAGGACATCAGAGGTTTAGACAAATAAAGGCTCTGAAAGGACTTCCTGTAACCTCTTGAAGAACACCTGACCTTGTGTGGAAGTGCATTAGTCCTGATGTAGTTATCAAATCTGCAATTTGACTAAGAAGTCACCACTGACGCTCCTGCAAGCACTCATGCTAAATGGACTGATTCTTATAGAGCACTCTTCTTCTCTCTCAAAGCACCAACAGCACGCCTCATTCACGTTCCAATAAACACACTGAAGTTTCGGGTTTAGTATCTTGCCCAAAGATGCTTCGGATCAAACCACTAACCTACTAATTAGCAGAATGCCTGCTCCATCTCCTGATCCACAGCCACCCCTGTTTAAAATTTACTTCCCAAACAGATTATATAAATCAGATGAATTATTACAAGTCAAAAATTAAAAAGCAACAAACTGCAACCTTCATTAACCTTCTCAATCAATTTTCAAAATAAATCCAACACATAAATGCTGTAGAATGATGTGTACTACAGTGTTTCTACCACAGGATATAATCTGAGCACATCCTGCTTTATGTGGGACGTCCACACAGAGTGTCGCATTTACCCTCTGAAGACAAACTTGACAGCACTTTGACACTGCAGACGCTCAACAGGCAGGAAGACTGCAAGACTGATGTTTCATATCCACATACTCCCACTGTGGCTGTACAACAGCTGTCACATTCCGCACTTCAGGCATCGTAGGAGTCAGAAACATCTCTTTTGCTGACTTAATGCCTAGAGCCACAGTTTGGAATAGTTTTCTATGCAGTATAAAGAGGTTTGCTCTCACCAAACTCATCTTCCATGGCCATGATGATCTCCACCTGGTCCAAGCTGTCCAAACCCAAATCTTTCATGAAGTGAGAGCTCGTCTGCAGCTGTGGAACAGAAACCAACCCGAGGGTTAGAAATTCAAGCTTACTTATACAGAAACTTACAAACACTACAGGCATTTGAGGGTGCTTTAAAATAAAAACAAAACCAAATCTACATGAGGAATGATAGTATTCATTTTAGATTGTTTTTCCAAGTTAAAAATCTAATTGTTATTAAATTCACTACATTAAAATCAGTAAACTTTTCAAAAACAATTTCCATGAGCCATTCTGGACAGGGATGAGTCACGATTGCCTAATTTCACCTCACAGATGCCTGCGAATGTATTATATTCATACATGTTTCAGCTGGAATTCACTGAAGGTCTCTTGTTGTTCTCACCTTCTCTGGGTTGATCTTGTCGTAGAGCTTGAGTACATACATGACTCGTTCTTTGATGGTTTCTAGAGTGAGGGGGGGCAGGTCTCCGTACTGTCGGCACAGCACACCCACCGAGGGGATCTAAGGATTGCCAAGAAGAAGGAAGAGTTTATTAGTGCAGAGGGGAGTGGGGGGTTGTGATCATGCAGCCTGTACATTAGCTTTCCTCAAGTGAGTGTGTATTACAGTGTGAAAAGATGCAATATCTTCCAGTACACTGCAACAGTACAGATGTAAAGGCTGGAAAAGTTTATCCAAGTTTCAAAATAAAACTTAAATCTTACGGAACTTTGACCAAGAAGAAATCTGCGCTGCTTCTGAAGCTTTTAATGTGTGGCTGATTTTACTATCTCATCTGTAATTACTGCGTTATGGTTTCATTTGACTAAATTTGCAATTAAACGCATTTATCAGCGCATTAGTGTTCACTTACAACTCTGCACACAGCTTGCTAAAACACCTGTAACATTTTTTCTGTGTTATACAAACACACTTGTCGTAATACACAGTAACATCCGCACTACAACAGTCTTTTACCTTTCTGCACATTAGTACCCGAT